AAAAAAAATGCTTTAACGCAGGGAGGGGAATCAGCAGGTGGCGGAGTTTTCCCCGTTGCGCACTCCTAGCTTCCGAAGCGATCTTCTCAATCCCGCTAGCCGGTCTGACATCGCCCCGGCCAAATGGGCGCGTAACTTGAAATCGGAACCGAGAAAATTGTTCAGGGAGCTGGGAGCGTGAAAAGCGTGAAGAGTCAGGAAGATTCCGCCCACTTGCCCAATTTCCCTCTTAGCCTTAGAGATCTTTTTCGTCGTTTTTGTGACCTTTGAGGCCCGGACACTGGAATGGTGCTCTAACCGCAAGATGTTCGTTGGGTGATGGGTTTTCTAGTCAGACAATGTCGAATTCAAATTAAGGTACCGCGGCATGTACAAGCGCTATGGTTGCGACGCGTCCGGCGTTACTGGGGGAGTCACTGGTGTTGCTTTTGGCTCAACAACAGGTTCGTTCTTGCACGTAAAGTGTGTAAACTTTTGACGTTATTTTAGCTGGAACAACCGCAAGTACAATGGGTGCGACTACTGGTGGCAGTACATTTGGTGGTGGAGTGACGTCTGGCGTTACATCTGGGCTGTCGGGTGATACCACCGGCGGCACAACGGGCGGCACAACTGGAACCACTGGAACCACTGGTACCACTGGAACCACTGGAACCACTGGCGTTAGTGGTTATACGAGCGGTGAGAGCACGGGTGGCACAAGCGCCGTTTCTGGAGACACCAGTGGCACGACCGGAGGTACATCCGGTACTACGGAAAACATTGCAATGTAGATTTCTAAAGTCTTTGAATAAAGTTTCGCCGTTTTACGGTGTGTTTTTGGCAGAGGTTCTGGTTTTGCCAATCATTACCTTTGTATGAACAGACTTCGCCCATAGGCACGCCCATCTTACAGTAATTTGCCTTGCCTTTCCCTCTTTTATTCCTCAACTGGATATTTTCTGTATTGTCGCTCAGCGAGCTTCTGCCAACAAGTGTAAAGTAAATTTTCATATTGTAATCTACTGTGTGCACCTACAGTAACACTTGGAATCTCTCGATAGGACCTATAATCTGGTACATGAGCAGGGCCCGGCAAGAGTCGGTTTCTAGGATTTTCAAAA